ATTTGTGTGCATCCTAAGCATCGCGGCCGCTGTCCGAAACACCGTTCCGCACTGCGCGGTTCGATTGTTAATAACCGATTCATCGGCAACTGATAATTATTTAATTAACAATTAATTATTTGCGGCTGTTAACGACGTGAGTAGCTCCGCGGCATTCCCGGGGGGCACTCCAGGGTTAATTACCTCGCAACGCTCAGCCGGCTGCGATATCAATGTAGTTTGCGCGCCGGGGGAAACCGTTAAATAGTCATACGCATTTCCAATCTGCCGTGTGTCTGTTGTATCGGAACGCCCGTCGACCGTAATTACAGTAAACGCGACTCACACGGAGCCTGTGCGCGCTTCCTCGGCTTCCCGACGCCTCGCCGCAAATCCCTTGGAACCGATTTTCTACTTTGCCAGAAATCTGACGGGCGAGCGCCGCGCTTTTCCCGTCTTTCTTCGTCGACGTTGAAAATATCCCTGTGATTAACTCAAATTAAGATCCCGTTAAGAAGGAAGGCTGAATAAAGACCTTCAGCACTGAAATAAAGAACGAGAGGTACGGAAATCGTAAATTACTTAAATCTCGCATACTGTCGGGCGTTTTTTGTGAAAAAAGAAACAAAAGGAACGCGTCTGCGAATATATAGAAATAATTGAACGTGCAAGGGAGGAGCGGCCGCGACACATCCGATTTTTCTACTCGTCCTGCTGCGTACACTTCTCAATTAAATTCTCATTTTCTCTCGGAATCAGCAGCGGAGGCGCTTAATTGTCGCTTAATCGCTACAAAGACACTCGGTAATTTATTGCGCCCGGGCTACGCCTTCCGCTTCTTCATTATTTTTCATAGAGGAGCGATTAATTTATCGGTTATCCGCACGATAAATCGGCTCAAGCGTATCACAGTCTCGATCACCATCATCCGGTCGCGCCACGCTTTTTCGCGGTTTTACGACCGCGGCCGGTCGCGTGCATGTATGTGTGTGTGCACCAGAAAAGTATCGAATCGTGAAGTCTTTCGTGGTTGCCTCCACCTTTTTCTCCTTTCATTCGTAAATCAAAGACGACCAAGGCGCACGCAAATAGGTGGGCTTTAGGTTTTACGACGAGAAGTACCGGACGAGCAAATACGGTTTAATGTCGTACAAATAACGTCGACGACGGTCACGGAGCTCGTTTCGCGAACGGTCGGGCACAGAGGAGGAAGACCGAGGTGGGAGGGGAAGGTTTCAAAGGCGTCGTCAGACTGGACGTAAAATTAGGAACCACAGCCAAGAAAAATATCCGCCTGCGCGCTTATTTTCACCGGCCGCCGGTTTCCTCCATTCGCGCCCCGCTGAAAGATCTACGACGACCAGGAGGAAGAAAACGAAGACGTTTCGCCACGACACGGAATAAACTCTACCGTCACTCGGTGGTGCGCTATTTACCTTTTATCCTATCGAAAATAAGTCAAGACACGATATACCGCGAGTTTCTCACGAAAGTGACAGTAACATCATCGCCGGCGCTCGCGATAATTGATAAACGAAGACACGTCGCGTCCGAGATTTCGCGGTGCAACTGTCGTTTGACAGGCCGCGATGTCGTAACAAGAAGGAGGAGGGGGAGAAGCGGCGGAGCGCCGTCTTCAAACAATCCCGATCTCTCGAATCGGCGATAAAAAGGGACGTCTCGATCGCTCCTCACGCACAAGCCGAACCCGCGGTTAAATAACGATTTATTCGCGATTCCTCGGGTTCTCGTACGCCGCGTCGTCGGCAAGGAACAGACGGAGAGAAAGAAAGACACAGAAGGTGGAGGAAGTGGAGGAGGAAGAAGAGGACGGGACGAGAGGGACAACAACCGCGCGCGTGTGTCGCAATGTCCCTTAACGACTGACGGCTGCCGGAGAACCGGTCGACCTCGATACACCTCGGCCCGGCTCTCCTCTCTACGTATTACACCGCGTGATATACGTATTCCCGATACATATGCATCGTGCACGAGCTGGATTTTGCACAATCCGTCCGCGCCACCGCCGCTGCAATCGCCGCGCGTACCAAGTTAAAACTATACCGTGGAAAATCGCTTTCGTCGGTGCCTCGTTTAAACAGCGAGAATCCCACGTTTTTACGCGACACCCGTGCCACGGCGCAATAATACACCTCGCTATTGTGGCATCGCGTTTCTGCCCCGGTTTACCTACGCGTCGCCGCGTTCACCGGTGCATTTCAAATCGCAGTAGATTTCAGCGAGGAGGCGATCGAACTCGATGTCGACGAGACGATTCGTCGATAAGACGCGCGAATGAACGCTCAATGTTGGCAAATTTTTCCCCTGAATATTCTTTATGGTTTTCAGGAGAAATGAGTTTTTATTTTAAAGATACGGTTTTTGAATGGTCATCGCGTGTAATTAATAGACGTTGAGTTTATAAATATTTCAGGGATTGTCGCGCGGAGAATCACGTGGGAATTTACGAGATTATCCGACGCAAAATCCTCTCTCTTTTTTTTTTATACCCGAGACTGCTCCGATCTGTCGAGTGTCGGATTATTACGCTATTGCGTTTTTGCGTGTACGCCCGTGCGTATTATGTAAACGTACAATGCGACATGGCCTGGCGGTGTAAAGTGCACGTCGATACGTTCGGCGGATCAATTTACCTGTTCCGAGTGTTTCACAACGAGGCTTATCGTATCGTTGTCGAAGCGAGCGAGCGAGCGAGCGGGCGCACGTGAGTACGGCAAATCCGACGGCCATTAGAGCCATTAAAATCTTGTTTAGTTGCGTCAGAATTCGCGGATCTGTCGCACGATTACGCGCGGTGACATTTGTCCGCCGCGTTTCATTATCGACAAGCGTTTTTTTCCACCTGAGAGATCTACGCGTGGGTGACCACGCGGTCCCGGCTTAATTAATACCTTTAATCTCGCGGCAATGTATTTCGTAATCTTCGCGAAACCCGTATGTAATCGCAAAAAATGTATCTTACTTCGTTATCACACGTTGCGACACGGATAGGGTCAGATTTAGATGTTTTCCTGCCGCTTGTATGTTAAACTCGCGCGCACGAACCGACGATGCACCTCTCCGATGCATTTATCACCGAGAATTTTCATTTAAAAAGTTACAGATGTTTGCGTAGCAACAGTCTGTTAAAATGTCAAAAAATCGTTGAAAAATCGATCCAACTTCCCGAGACTTGAAACTTAATCCGGGAATAGCCACCCTACTTTTTTTTTCTTTTACGTAAACGATCACCTGAGGTCGTTTTATATCCCAACGAGTTCTTATAGACCGGATCACAGTCAATTTTTGTTGCACAGATCAGATCTCTAAATGTCCAAATGAAAGGTGGCTGTTCCCGATTAGTAAAAAAAGACCCGCTGCGACGTGAGCTTAATTTTCCGACCGTCTAAAAAGACCCCAGGTGACTATTCCCGGATTAAAAGCAACAGCTCGCAGATTGATCATTTTTAGCGGAAATGCATCACGACTTTCTTCCTCGCGACGTGATGTGTTTGCGAATTAGCGAACGTTGTTTCACGGTAATCACGGCAAACAGCGAGAGAGGCGTGCGTTAACGGTACGTTCGTCTATTTAGCCGAATGCTTCAACCCCAATTACCTTCTGGAGCGTGTCGCGGCCGACAATATCGTCGGTCCTCTCTGACGTAAACCGCAGAGAGCCTGGGCGATTAGCAAAGAGCAACAGCGGCGGCAATACCCTCGTCGCCGTATCTCGTTCGTGAAAGTAACCGGGCCACGCGTTTATATTTTTGCAATGCAACTGCACGCGCGCACGCTCGGCCGAGCCGAGTTTATGATTTTGCTTAATTAATGGTCTCCTCGTCGCGTTACCGCCCTCACCCCCTCCACCTAGTGTCCTGACCCCTCGCCGCTTCCAGCAACGGCGGCGGCGGTGGCGGCGGCCATTAGCCCGCACGGATTGCGCAATTTCGGGAAATTGCGAAGTAATTCGCGGTTGCGGCCACTCTCGACGCAGCGGCAGAACGAGAGGGGCGGCGAGAGGCGCAGAGAGAAAAGGACTCGTGGATTCTACGAAAGGACGGCCGTAGCTGACCCGACGATGATGTCGCGTCGCGATCAATTCGACGAAGAGACGCGCGGCCAATTATATTACATCGGCAGGCTCGTCGCGGTTAAGACGCGATTCCGCGAACGTGTCTCATCTCAATTCGAGCAGTGGGGTTTCGTGTAACAGGGATGGCGGCCTGTGTACTCGCTGGGTGCACACAGCTCGAAGAGGTATCGAGAGCTCTCTCTCTCTCTCTCTCTCCTTTCTGCCGCCGCCTCGCAGGTATCGATGTCGCGAGAACGGCGGAAATTGCAGAATCCGCACGCGGGCGGGGAAAATCGTATTTTGCTCTCTCAATGAAATATATCGCGCTTGTCGTGTATGCAAGGGAATGAACGTTACCTCGCTCGCTCGCAGCTCTAACAGGCAGATACTAAAATTAGCGGGCGAGTCGCCGCGGTTCTTCTGCGACGCGCACTCCCGCCGCTCGATCGCGCGACACGTGGAACTCGGAAAAAAAAAAAAGAGTTCGAAGAAAAAGTTCGAAGGGGGACAGAAAGGAGAGAGAAAGAGAGAGAAAAAAACGTCTGCGGTGCAACGCATCGTAAAAGCGCTCTCCCGCGTGCTCTCTCGTGACGCAAGGCGAGGTTTTGTTTTTATTCTCCGCGCGCCGATAAAAATTCCGGATTGCTGGCCGTTGCGGGCGATTCGTTCCACCCTTCACTGTTATAATTAACGTTACCACTACTTAGTCTAGCTTACGTTAGAACCAACACCACTACCACCACCATACCGTACCCATCGCCCGTGTTCCACGTTCAAACGAGTAATAATTGAATAATTGAAAGGCGGAAAGACAGAGAAAGAGAGAGAGAGAGTGATAGAAAGAGAAAGAGAGAAGGACTCTTATTCCGAAAAAAGAAGGCCCGCCGATTTCACTTGGAGCGGGCGGCTCGAGGAGAAAAAATAAAAAAAAGAAATGTCTACGATACCGATGCTATTCTGAGTACTGAGTTCCCAGTCTTTCATGAGGATTTCTCGGGCAGGTCAGGATGACGGCGACGTGGGTGCACCTATAATGCAGACAGTGATCGTACATATAGACCAGCGTTAAACATCGCATTACATCGATTGTCGAATGTTCGCTAAAATATAATGCTAAGGTGCTCTATCTAAGAGAGAGAGAGAGAGAGAGAATAAGAAAATAAAAAAGGAGGAGGCACAGAATAATTCATTGCGCACTCGTGCAACACGGTGCAATCCCGACGCACTTCGAGAGTTCGCTGTAAAAATAGGTGATTTCGCACGCACAGACACGCAATTCCCGATTCTCGTTGCGTTCACGCCGCGCAATTTAAGCGCGACTTTCACACGGGATTCATATCCGCCTCTCTACGGATATCATATCCGGAATATCTAAACGTCTATCTAAGGCGTCTAATAAATCGGCGCATTTACCAACGTTCATACACATACCATTATTTGATCGCGTTGTAAATTACAATTCATATCAACCGACGATTCGTATAATCGTCGAAACGCTCTCGCGTCCGGCTATTATTAACGTTAAACGGACAAATGCAACGGTAAAAAGGAAAAGCGCAGGAATTCCCTTCGCTCGCGCCGCGTATGAGAATGATTTACGATCGAAAATCCGTCGGAGCGAAGCGCGATAATTATGTCCGCGTGCGAGTTTTTTTTCACTCCCTCGAAAAGGCCGGACGTCCTGACTTTCACACATGCGCGCGCGCGGTGAAATCGGCGCGTTATAAGTCGGCGGCTCGCGATTCTCGCTCGCGGTTACGCTCACCAGCGTCTTCGGAAAGCGTGGAGAGCAGCAACGACGAGACACACCGGCTGTACACCTGCACGCACGGTGTGTGTGCACAATGCGAGGCGCATTCAACGTATGCTCCTACAAATTACGTCATAACGACACGCGCGGCGATGAACGTAATTCCGTTTAATTAGGAAGATCGATCGATTATCACACACATGCACACACGCGCGCACGAAACTCAGGCGCGGCGGAAGAGAGTCTTCTCGAATGTCGTTTTATCCTTATGAAAGAGTCGGATAATGCACGCGGCTCGCTGATCGTATATGTTTTACATACGTTGCAATATTAATCGTGCGAGCGAAACGGACGAAATTTTAAATTAACCGTCACGCAAGTACCGTGAGTTTTGGCACGAGGTAGGGTGGGTAGATTTACGAATGGAGAAGCCGAGCGTGTTCGACGATTTCCCGAGAACGGGAGTTCTCGTCGCGCAGAGTCTCATCGGGAGAACTCGCGGAAACGGCTTGGGTAAGCGTAAATCAATTCTCAGTTGTGGAAATTCCGCGGCACGCGGCGGCAGATGGACCGGCGAAATTCGCCCGAAGATTCCGAAATAGATCAATTTCTACGTTGGCTCCGCCAATTTGCGTTCGCTAACGTGCGTCACCGGCTAATGAGGACGTTATCCGTGTGACACACGAGATGATATCGTAAGTATTGCCAGTAGCGAATAGTAGTATTTTATTTTTTTGTTTTTTGGATTAAATCGGAATTGCTCGAATTCGCGCTTGATTGGCCTCTGCAATTTTCTCTTCTCTCTCTCTTTCTCTCTTTTTTTCCTCCCTTTACTTCAAAAACGCGGCCTATTCCGGGACAAACGGTACGCGGGATAATTCGTCGCTTTGACGAATTTTTCGGAAAATATTCAGCGCGCAGTAATAGCGCGCGAACGCGCCAGATTGTTGCAATTTCAGCTGCGCTCTCGTTCTCGAACGAGCGCATAACGAATAGTCGATTTTTTTCCGTACCCTATGCGTAATACACCTCTCTCTCTCTCTCCTCCCCCCTCCCCCGTGCACGTGACATTGGAAATATTTCTAAATCAGAAACATTCCACAGATACGTCAGTTTTCGTTTATTTCGGAAGCGGCGTTTATTGCTTTCGCAACGTGCGTAGGTGTTTAATACATTGGGACGAGTATGCAGCTGCATCGAACGATACTGCCGTTTATAAATAAACACGCGGCAAATACGGATTTCGTAGTTAGTAACGAGGCTTAATTCCGCGCGATTCGCATCGCGCATCGATTTCTGATTCCGCACGAGTCGAACGTTAACGGCGATATCTCTTCCCTCCGGAGGGAAGGTGGAAAAACGCGCGGAACGAACGCGGGCGTTTCCCGGACGATGTGAACTCGTTGTTAACGTATATCTGGACACGGCTCACCGCAACACGGCGTCGAGGTAGTTTATTTGCAACCGGGCGAGCTACTACACGCAGGAGGAAGCAACAATGGACGAGAGAGCCGCGGCGGAAACGGGGAGGAGAAACGCCAGAGGAAGAAAGAAAAAAGTAGTAGCGGCGCCCCGTCGCCGCAAGTGCGCCGAAAAGTTTATTTGTTTCGTGCCTACGGCGTAACTCGAGCGCCTTTTTGCGCACCCTTTCTAAAACCCACGCTGTCGGGCATTTATGCGCGCGAATATTTCCGCGTCAAAGGACCGCGACGATGGGCGTCGGGTCGGCGGAAATTCGACAACGGTGATCGATCGACGAGACAACCGCCGCTGATCGACGTTATTATGTATCTGTCTCGGAAGAGAGAGAGAAAGGGAGAGGTCATCCCCGCTATAAATCGCGCCGAGTCCGTTCAGCCCGGACTAATTAAAAAGTGGTAATTTTTAATCCGTCACTTTGACGGGGCCTGTCGCTTTCCACGCTTTTCGAAGCACCCCATCCCTTCGCCGTTATCACGCGCGTGAGAAATGATGAAATTACCGGCGAGACGCAGCATCTCCTACGACTCCTGTTCCGAAAGTGGAACAACATTTCGCGGCATGCGCGTATTTTTTTGCAAACTACCGGCTGAAAAATCCACAACGAGGCGAGTCGCCGCCGCGCATAAAGCCAGGTTCCCGACGAAAGAATGCGAGGAGAACGCTCCTCTCTCCATGCGGAAAGGAATCTCGAGGGTGAAGCCCGCCGGAGGCGCATCATCCGACATCGGGAACGACGCCCGCGGCATCAGGAAGCTAAGTGCACCTGCATATTCGTGCATACGTGCACGCACGCACGCGAGGTTCCTTAAACCGTATAATCCCGGGAATGTATTGGGTCAACAAAGAAGGGCCGCGGGGAGAGGAAGCGGGAGGTGCAACTATCGCGTGAAGGATTTTGAGGCTGCTCGCTGTGTGTGCGCGCGCGTGCTTATCGCGGGCGCGTTTGCTTCTGAAAGAGGCCAGATAGGTTAATGAGGGTATCGCATCGTGATATTACGTCTCTCTTACGCCGATTCGCCTCGAATCTCCGGCGAAAAATCCCGGACGATTTACGTTGCTCGCGATGTTACTCGTCCCGGCATGCCCGATAATTCGAGCCCCGTCTGCTATCTTTCACGTACCGCTATCGTGCGAATGTATCTCGCGCGTGCATTCGGAATCGACGGCGCGGCAATTGGCGTGTATAAACTGCGCTATTTAAAAATTCTCCGCCGGAAACTTGCCGAGCTGGGCGGGGAGACGCCGCTTAATATTAAATCGATCGATACGCGTCGGTAGGAATAGACACGTCGCACGTGGCGCGACTTGCCGAAATTGGCATTTCCAATTAAATATCGACGAACGGAGCAAGAGACGCGGGTGGGGGAGGAACGAGGGGGATGCGAGCGAAATCGTCGTGAAAAGGGAGAGATGAAAGGGGGAGGGAAGCGACGAGAGGGATAAATTCACGGGAGGAGGACATCGTCTTCTCTTCCTCGGCGATTTTTCGGATCTTTCGGCTGCTGCCGTCGCGCAATCCGGACCGAAATTGCGAAGCAACGTGGTGCTCGCGCGGCTCTCGCAATCGCCATTAGCCGGCTACACGGTTTACACACCTGTACGGGCTTGTATAACGGAGCGACGACGAACGGGCATTCATTACAGAGTACGGGCTACCTCGGGTATACCCGCGAACTACCAAGGTAGGAGTCAAGAAGCGTTCCGTGACTTGAGCACGACCTCCATTAGCCTTTCTCGATCAGACCGCTAATTAGTCGGCATCGGCGAATAAGTTACGGCAGCGCATCCGCGCCTCCGCTTCTTCATCTTCCCGCCCGATGTCTCTTGCCGGCCCCTCTCCTCGCGAATATTAAAAACTTCAGCCAGCGGCTCTCTCTCTCACACACTGAGCTCGGACGGGCGCAAGGAAGACGGATGAGACAAAGTTCGCGAGAAGGAGCCGTTGAATTTACATAGCGAATAATAAATCTACCGTTCGTCCGCGTGGGCGAGAGGAGCCGAAGATTTTCTCGGAATATGAAGGAAACCACGTCCCGTTTCCGTCTCTCGTAAACCTCCCGGACGGCTGTCGTGTTTTTACGTCGCATGTGACGACGTCCTTGTACGCCTGTTCCTCAACGAAAATTCTATCTCTGCTCTCGTATCGCGGTGACAGAACGTACGTGTTCGCTTTTAGAACGACGCGTCAATCATTTCTTCCCTCGTCTGATTACGTCCTACGGGCCCCTTATTAAAGGCGGCACACGGATATCGCTTTCTCTCGCAAGACGGAGAGGAAGATCTTCTCTGTACGCGTCCGCTGAAACAACGATCAATCGCCATTCCGTTCTCGGCGAATAAACCGTTAATCGTTTGACGTAACGGCGGCTCGGTTCCGCGGCCGGATTTCACGTGGCCGGTATCGCGAACAACGTGGAATGGCGGAGAGCAATGGATAACCAGCGCGCAATTAACACAGCAGAAGCCTCCGCTTGATTTTACACGAGCCGCTCGCGGTAACCACCCCGTCGTCCACCTCCTCTTCATCACGATAATCCACCCCCTCTCTCTCACCCTTTCGTTCTCCTCCCGCCGCGACCCGGGCTCGCCCGGGTAACGCGGACGGGAAGCGCGCATTTAATTTGCAAATGCAGATTGCTTTCCATTTTAATATAAATTGTTCGAAACAAAGGCAGTAATTATGCCGTGCTCCCGCGCTTTCAAAATGGCGGGGCACACTCGTTACCGTCTCACTCGGTCGCACCCCTCCTCCCCCTCTACGCCCTGTCCGAATTCCCTCCTCGTTCTCCTCTCCAT